GCTCTGCTGTTTCGACTTTCATAATTTGGAGGTCAATCCAACTAGTGTGATCGACCCAGAATTTTGAGCCTGGCTTGAAATCTCACCCACGGTGAGTCAAGCCAGGCTTGAGGCGCTAGTGTGACCATTGCCTAATCTTCCTACCCTTAGCAAGTTAATTGAGTACCCTGTTCACAACCAATTTAGGCAACATCTAGAAATTAATAATTTTGTTGAGGAGTTGCAATCCGCTTTTAAACCCTTTCATAGCTCTGAAACTGCACTTTTATTCTTGTAATGCTTGATCTTTAGTGCCACGTTCGATAATCTTTACCATAACATTCTTTTGGATCGATTAGAAAGTAAATATTGTGTTTCCAATGAAGCCGTCGGTTGGTTTAAGTCTTATCTTGATGACCGAGGAGGCATGTCTAGTTTCGGTCTTAGGCACGAAGTCAGAAAAATTTCCCCTAAAATTTGGAGTACCACAAGGGTCCATTTGTCAGCTATTTGTCAAAGTCCTATGTAAATAGCGCTTAATAAATAAAATAAAATAAATAATTATAGAATTAATAATTTTTGTATAATGTTATAAAGATTTATAAACATAATACGGAATTGCTAATTTAACTGAATTTGGGCATTCCTAAGCATGAAAAATGTAAAATAAGACTGAAATTTGATTTTTTTTTGTGTTCCACACAAAAAATAAATGCAGATGAATTTTTCATGTTTGATTTTACGATAGGTCGTGCGAAGAAATATAGTAGGCGCCGAAAACATATCCAACTCTGCTAGGCTAGGCCTATAGCCTTACCTCGATTTAGGTTCTGTTATCACACATAAAACCGGCCGACATGATATTTTCCGTTGCTAGTATTGGCCCTTGTGAAATATAGTATTTCATAGGAATTATTTCAAATTTGTTAAAAAACTGATTCTGACCGAGATTTTGACACTTAAACAAACATATCTTCAGCCTAATCGAACGATCGCATTGTGCGTGCGAGATGCGAAGTACAAAAACTAATCCTATTAGAGAGGGTGCACTTTATTGACTGTATAAAGTATACATAAAAGTGAGAGTATTCCAGCTGATGCGATCTACAACCTCTGAATTTAACGAAGAATTCGTTGAGAAAATTGTAATATTCTATGAGAAATAGTCTGTATTTCTCATTTTTTTTATTCTTTTGCGTAAAACTAAAATTCATGGCAATATTTTTCCATGATTTATAATAATTGGAGTAATGCACATGCATCTTTTCTAAGAAAAATCTGTTTTTAGTGAAATTTTGCTGGGAATTGGCTTTAAATAAGCCTTTAAAATTCTTAAATTGTCATATTTTCCGGGGTCTAGCTATGGCCTCTGGATCACTTTCGAGAGATTTTAAGCGACGTCCGGCCACGCCAACTTGCTTTCTCGTTAAGGACTCGCCTTCCCCAACCCCCTTCCATTGGGTACATCATTGGAGAAGACTATACTAAAACAAATTAAATGTAAAGATACAGATATCCGGTGTATCCATTTCAGCGGTTGAAATAAGAGTTGTATGAGCTGAGAGATGGTGACCTCATATATCTGTTTAACAGATATATGAGGTCACCATAGTTTCTACTTTAGATGGAGTTTGCCAGATCTTACAACAATGGCATCATGCAACGGATGAGTTGTGTCTTCCAACATAACTTAAAACTCTTAAGTAAAGCACTAGTGCATAAAGAACCTTTATAACAATTTTGTAGAGTTTAGAACAGTTTTCACTGAAGAACTGATTATACCAAATCATAAAACGTCGGTGAATTGGAAGAGTTGGTGAAATGCTCATGGATGAGTGCAATGTCACCCCGATTTGTTATGGATCCGATGATTTTGTTATTGAATGCTTTCTTACAATATCTAAACAAACCACCAAAAAGAAAATGATGACCGCTAGATGCTACAAGAATATGGACCGTTTCAGAAACGATCTTAAGGATTTTTTGTGTAATATCTACAATCTGACGAACGTCAATGACCAAGTTAAATTTTATAATCGCGAGATGACATTAGCTCTTGATGAACACTGTCTACTCAAAACATGCATTCGTAAGGTCATGTGTGATCCTGAATGGTTCACATACATGTATGTAATTAGAGAACAGAGGTGAAAATGTTGGCAGTCTGAACATTGGTATAGGAAGAGCGGACTCATAAACCAGTTAATATACAGTATACCTCTTTGTAATGAGTTTGCACATATTCTCTGTAGTAAGATTGATAAAATTAGGATAAACTTGGATAGTCAAACCATACCTCCATGGTCAAACCAATAATGATGTGAACATGGCACATACAATGAATTAGAATTAAATAATAAGTCAATACTTAAAATGTTCAAAACCGTTGGTAATGTCGATGTAACTAAATTAATATAATTTAGGCTTCCCAATAAAGGAAGCTCACTAGATCTCATGCCAACGTGGCTCTTAAAAAATGTTGAGATAATTGCACCTATTGCAACTGTTATAATAAACACATCTTTTAGTTCTGGAACATTTCCCGATAAGCTTAAGACAGCTATTGTGACCCCCGGTTAATTAAAAAAACTGTCATTGGATACAAATATCCTAGGCAACTATAGACCGGTGTCTGAGGCTACGGTCACACTAGAGTTTCAAGCCTGGCCTGACTCACCGCGGGTGAGATTTTCGTAATGTGACAGCATCTCCATCGACTCGCGCCTGGCGTGACCTCGATCTCAATCTACCTATCTCGATCCCGGCTCATCACCCATATTGACCCTGGATTGACCCTGGCGTGACTGAGATTTACATTTCCTCGTCGGCTGTCGACCAATCACAGTCGATGACGCCGTTGCATTTAGAAGTTCTTGAATAAAAAACCCGCGAGTTCTTCATGAGTGTTCAATCAAGACGCAATCATTACTTCATAAAAGTTAATTCATATTTTAATTAATAATAATGCGATTGATTTGGAGCGACCAGGAAACTGCTGACCTGGTAGATTTGTGGGGCCAACCCGAGCTGAGAGACCGGATAGAAAATAAAAAAACAAACAACAAAACGGCTCCAAAATCAAAATTGGATAGAGGAAAATCAGTTTAATTAGATGATGAAGTAAAAGTTTTTCTGTTACCTGCTTTTTATTTTTTATTAATTGAGGATTATAAAAATGTTATTCTATACTATAGAAACTACCAAGCGAACTGCAACTACAGGACAGGAGGCTTTTAATGAACTAAGAAAAATAAGTAAGTATAGGCCTACTTAGTATTTTTTTCTAATACGAAAAATAAACAATGTTTATATTTTAAATACCAGGTTGAAAGTGCTAAACTTTAATTCACCTATCACAAAACATTCATCAGTGATTACTGTATATGTATACAAATACACTATAAACTCTTTGTATAAATTATTTAAAAAAAAAAATTGAATTATGTCCTGATGATGACATAATTAATGTCGTAATATTTAATCCCAACACAATGGCGTGTATTTCAATACTTGGAGTATGTATTATACTTTCATAATTGAATAGTGTATAGTGCCAGTATCTGTCAACGGTTTGATCACAGTATTTTAATTATTAGCTCTGGAAATCTTTACATCATGTGCAATATTCAATGTTCAGGAATATCTGTACATAAATATTAGCACTACCATTCTGAAATATTCACATCGTACGCCCGGGTGGAGAGAAACAAATCTGCATACGTTGCATGCTCTTGGACACAAGGAAAATGGAGACAGGCATTGATTTTCATGTATAATTTAATAACAGCAACAACAACAACAGTAATAATAATAATAATAATATTAATAATAATAATAATAATGCAGTGTTTATTGGCGAATATGCCAACATCGATATGCCAGTCTATTCTCTGATTGGCTAATGTAAATTATGACGTCATCAAACCAAGACAAAACGAAGGATCGGGAAAGAAACACAAAAAATCAAAACACCATGGCTGATAAATTAACTACAGACTGGTGATAATTTTTTTGGATGTCAAAACAAAAAAAAAAAAAAAAAGAAAAGAAAAAAAAAAGATTCAAAATAACTTTATTTGCAAACTTAAGGAAAATTTGAAATGTACAGAAAGATTAATAGTAATATACAAAATATAAATATAAAAAAATTAAAATTCTCGTTAAAACATTAAAAATGATACAATTACAACAACAAATCGATGCTGAGAAAAAAATATATAGATCAAGACATTGGCAAACAGAGAAAGATTCCTAGTGCTGACAGTGACAGATGATTGGGGTAATAGTGTATATAGAGTAGACCTACCATTTTGCCAGCCTTTGGGCTGGCTGGCTGGTTAGACAAACTTGAATCCATTCAACCACTGCGCGACCTAGGCTGATGAGAGATTCATTCCACTGTAGGGCGTTCTCTGCAATCCTGCCTCCTGTCTCATTTCTCCAGCTTAATAAAACCCCATTTCGCTCCCCTCTTTGATTTCCATAATGTTTAAACTTACCTAGTTCCCATAAGAAATCGGTGAACAAGGTTCTTGACTGTTTCGCCATCTTTTGGGAATGCTTTTTCTTCGGCCCTCACATCAGGAATTTTACAACACTTGTTAACTCAAAGCTACTGGTAGCCTTTCAGATTTGGATCCACACAAAAATCTGATTTAGAAAAGTTCGGTGAAAATTTGTCCCTTGTCTGGTGATGGTTACCTTCTTCCTGAAACAGGACTAATTTAATTAGCCATTGTGCTCCCTCCCCCCCCCCCCCCCCCCAAAAGAAAAAAAGAAAATTATATTCAAGAATGAGAATGCCATTTCCGGCCATCTAGAAATCAGCCCATCCATAGTGGGGCTGAAATGGTCAGCACTGGAAATTATTCTCTTAAACAGTTTTTAAGGCGCCAATAAATGTCAAGTATACTGTAAAACTAACACGTTAATGCTAGATGTATTTTCAATGTCGAAGATGATTATTTTATTTGTTTTAACTACTTTATTTAAAGCAATGAACAGTGAAAAACAGTGTTTGTTTTATTTACTGTAGTGATGTTTTACAAGTACAAGTGCAACATCTCACCAAGAGATAACTGTCACGTTTCTAGATAGTCCACCCTCAGAGCGCCTAAGTGTGCAATGTATTGGTCCAAGAATCAGTTGTCTATGAACTGTAATGAATACTAGTCACATAGGGCCTGTTCGGACGAGTAAAGTTTTACCGGGTACTTCCAACTGAGAGGCCACGTGTGGCAATTAAATTTTGCCTCTAGCCATAAAAAATTCGAAAAGCATCTGTCCCAAAAACCAATCTTTTTTAGTGGATATTTCAGTTACACGCTGCCTCCAGGCGTAATTAATCACATGTAACAAGGCCCACGTCAAAAGTTGACCTTTTTAGATGTGTATACAACACCGGGCCAGAGTAAAATTTCTATCGTTCAATCCCGTTCCCATTTTCTCATAATACTTTAAATCCTTATGAAAATAACTTAAATAATATTTAAAAGCATTAAAAAAGTTTGACAGTAAGAACTTTAGCAAAACACAAGAAAATAATGTTTAAACTTACAAAAAAAAAAGTTCTTTATGGTAGGCCAGCGAGCGAGCGACAATTTTACATACATCACTGTATTTGTTCAAATGTTGTATTTCTAATTCATATTTTATTATTTTTAAAGTGAGTATTACTGCTTTAAAAACAAACTTGAAAATTATAATTAGATGTAATATGTCTTTCAATAACAGAAAAATAATTTTATACCTACTTTTAAATTAGTTTTGTTACAACAACTTTACGAGTTGTTTTACAGTCAACAACAACATGGCGTCATCTAGCGGCAGACATAATAATAATAATAATGTAGTTTTATATAGCGCATGTGCCGAATGTAATAAAGTTTTGTTATCACGGTGAAGAAATCACTTGAAGCTCCAAATGAAGTTACAAAGGCTAGATTATGTATAGTTTTAAGCAGTAACAACAAAAATATTGCTAAAAAACTTGTGTCTGACCTTGGTTGATGGAAAGACATACGAGAAGTTACTAATTTTACCGGTACTTATTCTATTCGTCCAAACGGCCGTCGGAATTAGCCCCAAGGCTATTATTAGATTACACATGTATTTGAGTTTACGTCCGAACACGGTCTTAGAGTCAAAACGACCTTGGCCTAATCAGAATAAGAAAAAAAATTCCAATAACTTGTTATTCCCAGCAGACAACTTGGACCAAAACTGACTAAATTAAATTTAGGCTAACTCAGCTCGGACCAAATTTAGTTTCTGAATCCGACTCAAACCAAGTCGGATAAAAACCCGACTAAAATAGGGCTAATGTTCCAAATCTGACCAAAAACCAAAGCATCATTCGCTTTTCAGAGGTCTTCTCGTAATAGGCATATATAAAGTTAAAAATGATCATCAATTTAGGCTCCAAAATCAAAATTGGATAGAGGAAAATCAGTTTAATTAGATGATGAAGTAAAAGTTTTTCTGTTACCTGCTTTTTATTTTTTATTAATTGAGGATTATAAAAATGTTATTCTATACTATAGAAACTACCAAGCGAACTGCAACTACAGGACAGGAGGCTTTTAATGAACTAAGAAAAATAAGTAAGTATAGGCCTACTTAGTATTTTTTTCTAATACGAAAAATAAACAATGTTTATATTTTAAATACCAGGTTGAAAGTGCTAAACTTTAATTCACCTATCACAAAACATTCATCAGTGATTACTGTATATGTATACAAATACACTATAAACTCTTTGTATAAATTATTTAAAAAAAAAATTGAATTATGCCCTGATGATGACATAATTAATGTCGAAATATTAAATCACAACACAATGGCGTGTATTTCAATACTTGGAGTATGTATTATACTTTCATAATTGAATAGTGTATAGTGCCAGTATCTGTCAACGGTTTGATCACAGTATTTTAATTATTAGCTCCGGGTGGAGAGAAACAAATCTGCATACGTTGCATGCTCAAGGAAAATGGAGACAGGCATTGATTTTCATGTATAATTTAATAACAGCAACAACAACAACAGTAATAATAATAATAATAATATTAATAATAATAATAATAATGCAGTGTTTATTGGTGAATATGCCAACATCGATATGCCAGTCTATTCTCTGATTGGCTAATGTAAATTATGATGTCATCAAACCAAGACAAAACGAAGGATCGGGAAAGAAACACAAAAAATCAAAACACCATGGCTGATAAATTAACTACAGACTGGTGATAATTTTTTTGGATGTCAAAACAAAAAAAAGAAAAAAAAAAGAAAAAAAAAAAAGATTCAAAATAACTTTATTTGCAAACTTAAGGAAAATTTGAAATTTACAGAAAGATTAATAGTAATATACAAAATATAAATATAAAAAAATTAAAATTCTCGTTAAAACATTAAAAATGATACAATTACAACAACAAATCGATGCTGAGAAAAAAATATATAGATCAAGACATTGGCAAACAGAGAAAGATTCCTAGTGCCGACAGTGACAGATGATTGGGGCTGTCTCTTATACACATCTAGATGTGTATAAGAGACAGGCCCTAACTATCCCCCTGGCCACCAACATGTACTTTACAACTATTTTCTTATTAAGACTCAGAGTGACTGAAATGATTTGTTTAAGACTCACAGTCAATTTTCCGTGATACAACTTGAATTGTATCTCCAACTATAGCTTTCACCTAAAAAAATTAAAAAGAAAGTTGCATTCAAAAAATTAAGTACTTGATTAATTAATTTAGATTTATTTATTTATTCGTACAGCGATAACAATCACCACTAAATATGGATGTCGATGACGTCACAATGTCCGACCAGCCATTATGATCTATAAAATCATATTTACAACTTATGTGCTTTCAGAATATGTAATAAAAATTGGGGGTCACCTTTCAACCTAAGGAGCTATACCTGATTAAAAATAGGTCTGATTTTAGCATAATTTCACTGTATAGCAGCAAAATACGCGCAAAGATACCTATGTTTGATGCGCACGTACGGCATTGCTATTGGCCAAAAGATGACCGAAAAGAATGCACATTTGTGAAAACAATGTCAGGAACCCAAAATTTGTAAAATAACGTAATTTCTAGCTTTCGTACGTGCTGTGCACCTAAAAATGCGCGCGCGTAGTGGAAAATTTCCAAAAAATTTGAAATGCTCAAAATTTCCTAAAACGTGCTCTAATTTAGTCAAAAAGTGATTTCGAGCATTTTAAAATTTTGACACG